ATTAGAAACTACCTTAACATAATTTCTGACTCCAGCTACTTACACAACTCCAGCTACGTTAACCGTCTATAAAACAGGCCATTAGAAACTTCCTTAACATAATTTCTAGAGCATATTTGTTAGAAATGTATAACTTGAATAATTATGCTACAAGAACAGTTACATCTGTTTAACACAGTAAAAGGGGAAAAACCCGACGGCACTTTCAGGGTTGATATTTCCCAACAAACCAAGGGACTGGATCTGTTTTGACAGAATCATAAAAATGCTATGTCATCACAATATAATGTAACAGTGCTAAACTGACAGATAATGTCCTGGTCTTGGTATTAAAATTTGCTGAAATTTACACTTTGTTTATTGTGTAAGCAAAACTATACAAACAGGAGGAACTGCTAATTCAGTGTGCCAAATCCACCAATTTATAAATAGCCCAACTGAAACAAAAATCAGCATTAAAATAAATCAATTGAGAACGTATTCCATTTCGTAGTTCAAGGTTAGCAAGCACTTTGAGCACCTTATCCAAAGCGTACTTGCCTTATTCAAGGAAGTAGGCAATGAGCTTTGGAGGGGCAATATGAAGTTGTGGGGGGGGTGGAGTAACTATTTTAGAGGCAATGTATCAGACTAGGGATGTGAACAACTAGTCGATTATCCGATAAACATTTGTTTATCGGATAGTTGACCAGTCATTCACATCTGTAGTCTGATACATTGCCTCTAAAATACAGTTACTTCCCCCCATATTGCAAATGCTTATCGGATAGTCAACAGGCTAGTCACTCCCCCCCCCCTTGCTGCCTCTATCAGAAAGAGGCAGCGGAGGAGGAGAGGGGGAGAAGTGAGGGCGCTTCAAAGCGGCAGCGCCACATGGAGCCTGGGGCCAGACCCTGGGCTCCATGTGGTGCTGCTGCTTTGAAATGCCACATACTGTCCGGGGCCAGTTGGAGTGTCCCTAGGCTCTCTGCGGCAGTGCCGCATGGAGCCCGGGGTCAGTGGGGGAGTTCCCAACTGATCTCCGGCTCTATGGAGTGCTGTCACTTTGAAATGCCATGAGGAGCCTGACACTGGTCTCCCCACAGCATTTCAAAGCAGCAGTACCCCATGGAGCCTGGGGTCAGCGTCCCCAGCTGACCCCAGGCTCCACAGAGCGCTTTCGCTGGGCCCAGGCTGTTGCTACAATTCAAAGGTAGAGGCACCCTATCAACTAATCGAATAGTTATTCGATTAGTCAGTTATTCAATATTTAACATCCCTATATTAGACTTGAGGCTGTGTTCTTCCAAGTTTACATTAGATATTTAAAATAGATATGCAAACCTAGTCTGATAGTCATTGGCTTTACTTTCTATTAAGGAAAGGACAGCAAGGAGTGAAGATGCATTAACAGTGTATACAGCTTATTTTTATGGGCTGGGATTTTCAAATGGGCCTGCTGAATGAGAAGCTGAATATCCATTGAAACTGGCTGGGATTTAGGTGCCTCGCTGTAATGCCTCTTGGAAGAATCCCAGTCATTCAGTTATGAAAAAGTGACAGTAATTGCTGGTAGCAACATCTACTGAAGGAGCTGAAAGGTAGCAAATGCACCAGGGAAAGTCAATCACACTTTACTATTACTACACATAACTAGAGCCCTGCATGGATTCAAAATTTTGTAGCCACATCCACATTTGTAGCCACAAAAATGAGCTGCGGATATCTGCATTCACATCTGCAGATGCAAATAATTTGTATTGGTAATGTCATCTTGTTTTTGAAACCAGCACTACTTCTGTGCTTTTAAATTGATTTGTGAACACTGGTCTTCAGGTATCAAACTGGTTTTCAATCCACAGTGCAGACTTTCTTTGAATGATCTCTGTTGTAGATATACTCAGAGTTTCCATTTATGCCTCAGGGTACGTCTACACTACCCCCCGAGTTCGAACTAGGGAGAGTAATGTAGTCATACGGAGTTGCAAATGAAGCCCGGGATTTGAATTTCCCAGGCTTCAGTTGCATGAAGCCGGCCGGCGCCATTTTTAAATGCCGGCTAGTTCGGACTCCGTGCCGCGTGTAGCCGCGCGGCACAGAGTCCGAACTAGCCGGCATTTAAAAATGGCGCCGGCCGGCTTCATGCAAATGCAGCCCGGAAAATTCAAATCCCGGGCTTCATTTGCAACTCCGTATGACTACATTACCCTCCCTAGTTCAAACTAGGGGGTAGTGTAGACATACCCACAGGGAGTTTTGCATGAGGATAAAGTACGGTATATCTACAGTGTAGATCAAGGAAGAACTTTGCTTCCTGTAATTCTGTCTCACTACAGGGCTTTTTAAAAGGTGAATCATTGTCAGATTCCAGGATGCAGGGTTTATCATGAATGACCTATGTTTTCCCACTTCAGGCTGTACCCATGATTTCATTGGTTAAATTAATCTTTTTTCCAGTTGAAACCTTAAAAATGTATAGTCAGGACCAGTAGAATACTTCTTGTGGCTACTGAAACTGCTATGTTCAAAATATTTACAGGATGAAACATTTTTATTATGACCTAAAGTAAACAGATCCAACTTGAGCACTTTCTATCACTGTAATCAATTTGTCAGCCCTACAAAAATGACACAAATACAAAAAAAGCAGATGGTCAAGATCTTTGAACCACATACCACCTATTAAAATTGAAAATGAAGTGGCACATTTTAAATGTTCTTCACTATAGTTATATATACACACAATCACTTTTTTTAAAGGATTCATTTAGCATATTTTTAACATTAACAGTTAAAGGTAACTCAGGTATGCAAATGCTTCTTCAGGTGTAAAAGTGATACAAGTTACATTTTGACACGAATTGAGGATTATTTTCTAAATATTATTCTGTGGTGGCCTTAACCAATCCTTATTCTGTTGTCAAGAGTACAGAAAAACCTTTTAAATACTCAAGTACACACAAGAAAAAATTCCTCCTGCTCTTATTTAGGCCTGTCTACAGTGATTTTTATAACCATTTTGGTTTGGGTGTGGGATTTTAATAAAATAGTTATGATGTTTTGAGCCCCTAGTGTGGATCCAATTATACCAAAATAAAGGTGCCTTATACTAATATAGATTTTTTTTCCCATTCCCTTTAGGGCTAAGATATATTTGTATAAAGGCATTTATACCAGTACAAATCATCATTCACCATATAGGGGGTGTTGTACTATCCTACTAATATAGTCAGTACAGTAGACTTCCGATAATCTGGCACCTTTGGAACCTAGGTGGTGCCGGATTATCGGATATGCCGGAGTATCGGGAGGTACTCCAGTGGGGGTGCTGTGACGGGTCTGCCAGGACCCAGACCGCGTCTGGGGGGTGGGCAGGGAATGGCGAGGCAAGGGGCGAACCCTCCACCATTTTACAGGAAGGCGAGGGAAGCCCTGTGCCACCTCAGAGTTTCCGGGAGGGGAGGGAAGCGGGCTCCCCACCCCCGAGGCTGCAGTAGTTTTCTCCGAGAAGGGGGGTGAGGGGCGGCATTGCGGGACCAACTGGGCAGCACCCCAGCTGCTCTGCTCTGCAGCTACCCCAAGTCCGCCGCTCGTCAGTTTCAGCAGCGGTAGACTTGGAGAAGCGGCGCAGAGCAGAGCAGTTGGGGTGCTGTCCGGTTGGTCCTGCAGCACTGCCCCTCACTCCCCTGCTCGGCGCCCGGCAGCACCTCAGCTGCTCTGCTCTGCAGCTTCCCCAAGTCAGCCACTCGTCTGCTTCAGCAGTGGCAGTGGTGGACTTGGGGAAGTGGTGCGGAGCAGCTCCAATTGTCCGTCTGGCCAGAGCACTTCCGGGTTTCCAGTTGGTGCCGGACCACTGGATGCCGGACAGTTGGAGTTTTACTGTACTTGAATCCCCAACTCAGCAATGCCCTTGCCAAAAATCTTTTGACTTCAGTGGGACTTAAGCACCTGCTTGTGTGCTTTCCTGAACTGAGGCTTTAGGTTTCCATTGCTTTACACTAGACAGAGAACTTTGCTCATGGATGATGCATAAGGTGGGACTCTCTAAGTCTCCAGTGGGCACTATGCATGCTTCTGAAGGCAGAAGTTGGCCCTCAGTTTGCATTATTTCCAGCTAGGTAAAAATACCACACTGAGTTTTAACCTGAAATTGTTTTGGATTTGGCAGAGCAGTTGTGGAGACCAACGACCTGCTTCTGAATCTTTGTTTAAGTAGCTGCCTAAGTGAAGAGATGTGCTGAGTGTCTTGTTTCCCTGGTGCCTTGTGACTGAAGAGGTTAATGATTAATCCCAAACATTGTTGGGGAGAAGAGGGAGAATTGAATGTCGGTTGGATCTCCCTGGCCCAGTACCCTCAGAACCCGAGCTGTCCCAAAAAGGGAGTTTGCTGGACCACAGGAGGTCAGGCCTCCAGGACTCCTGGGGCTCCTCTCTGGGCCCCCATCCCTAGTCAGTGTGCTGCCGCTGGCCTGCCTCCTGGGCTCTCTGCATCCCCCAGTCCATCCACTGGGCTCTGCAGCCCGTTGGCCCAGCTCTGTCCACCAGGGCTCCCTGCCCCCGGCCACTCAGGTTCTCTGCCCTCAGGCCACTGGCCCTGCAGGCTGCTGGCTGCCAGATTGGCTCTGCTCCAACCTTCTGGGGCTCTCTGGTCCAGCAACATCTGTGGTCCTGCTGGACAATTAATATTGCCGGACCAGAGAGTCCCTGACCAGAGAGGTTCAACCTGTTATTCAATTGCTAGTGGTAACTCTTGAAATATTTAGAGCTCAGTCATTAGGTTCTGTGCTCTTTTTAGGGAGCTGCCATCAGACTGTGCAACACACTGGTAACCAGGTTGTAGGACAATGGACTGATACACATTTAACATATGGTCTATTGACATCATTATTTATAATTGGGTCTGTTTACTGTTGCTTGTGTATTGTGAGCAGAAAAATCCATAGTTCAGGAACGGGTGGGTGATTCTGCACAGTGGCTGGGGATAGGGAATAACCTCAGTATTTCTATTGTTGTTTCCTTAGTTCCTCATCGTTCCAGCCATTGTGGGAAGTGCCCTCCTCCACCGGCTCTCTGATGACCGATGGGAAAAGATAACAGCATGGATGTATGGCATGGGCCTCTGTGCACTCTTCATTGTGTCCACAGTGTTTCACATAGTTTCCTGGAAAAAGAGTCACTTAAGGTATCACCAGAACACTCACTGTCCATAATGTTTTTCATGCTGCTTCTGAAGTGGTAGGGTTTAATAGCCCAGAGTAGGCAGACCACAGAACATGTGTTTCCACTTTTGCAGAGCATTGTGAGTAGGGATGTTAATGGTTAACCAGTAAACTGGTAAGCATCACTCTTATAGGGTGATGCTTACTGGTGACCGTTAACCAGGGGCTGTCCCAGCCCAGGTGGATCTGCTGCTGCATGGGTAGGGGGTGCTCCAGACTGCCAGCCCTGTGCCTGCTCCGTTTAAGTGGTTAACCAGTTAAACGTAATGTTTACCTGGTTAACTGTTCTAAGGTGATTTTACATCCCTAATTGTGAGGGATACTTTGAGTGCTGTGTAATAGATTATCCAAGAAATCTTGATTCCATCACTGCAGACAGGTAACAAAAGTAACAGGATATTCTGATTTTTGGGAAGAATTACTACAAAGAATATGATGTGCATCATTTAAAGGACATAGAATACTACACAAAATGTAGCTTTTTGTCACATTTCTATGTGCCTGCACTGCATATGCAAATATCTGCTCACTTCTGTCAAGAGAAAACGCCAGTACGTAATAGGACACAGAACCAAAAATAAATTGGTCTTCTGCTAATCTTATACCTAACATTATTTCTGATGACTTTCTATGGGCAGAACATAATGAATCACTCCCATGTTCCTGATTATGTCTTTATTAAAATAATAGCATATAATGCCTTGCGTCACAAGACTCTGAATCACGTCAATTATGTATGTACAGGACAGAGCAACAAAACAAAGTGGCACAATTTATGCTGGCATTAAATGTTGCAGTTAATGGGTGTCACAAGGAAACTTAATATTCTGCAGAAGAAAAGTACCACATAAAAAGTGAAGTGGATTTAAGCTCAGTCTAGAAATGTGATTGTTGGGTGGATATTTTGCATTCTTCTGTACACTGAGGTAGACACATACGGCTTGTTGACCAGAGAAAGGTTGTGCTTCAAAGCTAGCCTCTAATACAGAGGTCAGCAAATACCGGCCCACGGGCCAGTTGCAGTCCACCAAGGTTATACCCCTTGCAGGTATGAGGTTTCATAGCTCCCATTGGCCACAGATCACCATTCCCGGCCAGTGGGAGCTGCAATCACCTGTACCTGCGGAGGTGCAGGAAAATATAGTGGCAGCGGCCCACTAGGGTCTAACCTTGGTGAACAAATGCTATTTTATTGCCCATCTTGCTCTAATAGCAGAAAGGGACAGAACCTTGATTCTGCTATGACTCCTTTGGGGTCACAAAGCCGTTGTAAAGAGCCTCTTTAAGAATTCCCCTTGCACAGTGCCTGTCACTGGGTAATGTAGAGCTGGTGTCACAGTTTTATGCTATTAAACATGCTGGGGAAAGGACATAACAGGAGTACTACTGTGCTCTGGGTAGCCTGAGCCAAGTGGCCCAATGTAGATCAGCCTAGAGGCTGCTCCAGCCCTGAAATGAGGGAGCACAGAGCACTCAGTCCTTACTCTAGTGTCTCAAAGACTGAGAAGCTTTACTATTGTAAGCGAGAGCAATTACAATTAAAATTGCTAATGATTTTCTTTGACTGAGAGGAATCGTGACGTTTTTCCAAAGTTTGCTTTTAGCGACCTGTTTTCTCTTTGTTAGGACAATGGAGCATTGTTTTCACATGTGTGACAGAATGGTGATCTATGTCTTTATTGCAGCATCATATGCACCCTGGTAAGAAATCAGATATGTGTTTTCAAGGGATTACAACTCTCTGTGTTTTGTATCAATATGATTTCCAAATAATTTAAGGGCTTTGAGAAGTAGTTGACTGGCAATATTCATTGAATTGAGAAATGAAATACAGCATAATCCTCTGGGATTTAACTATGCTGATTCCTCCCCTCTTTTGTATTACAAGAGGAACAAACTGTTTTTGTCACTTCCTTTATATTTTTGAATGAATTCTGAATGACATGACTAGAAATTATGGGCCCTAACCAACATTCTTGCTTATCCCAAATTCAAACTGACTTCAGGGGGGCATCAGGTTATGCAGGGAATGTAACAGCTATCTTACAGTAATACTCCTTTCAAATGAGCAATTGCTAAATTATCCAAGTACTGCATTTTTCTTTTCTCTCATCTACCATCAGAAGTCAAATGCTGTGCTTCGACTTTGACTTGTAGTTGAAAAAGACTCTTAACATTGTCCCTCAAAAGGGGGCAGTAGAAAGTGATTTGGAAATGGAAAAACAAGGCTCTCACTTCCCCATGTTGGTCTCAGCACACTGTGACTCTGCTTAGTGTAGGTTCTCAAATAAGTTTTCTTATCAATAAATGGGCTAAAGCCCAGTGGCGGCCACCTGTCAATACAGGCAAACTAGGCGGTCGCCTAGGGCGCCAAGATAAACGGCCATTGAGGGCTTTGGAGGCGGGGGGCACCGATCGCGCGCCAGTCACGCGTTTCGCCTAGGGCATCAGTTGCCGGCAGCTCGTCTAGGGCTACTCCTGCTAAAGCCCTTCGCCTCTCTAAGAAATCCCAAATTTTTTCCGTACCCATTTTCTAGCCAAAGTGTAGCCCGTGTGGTTTTAAAATAAATAATAATCTTTTGTATGTCAGTAAGTTCCATTCAGTCATCACTTCTATTATCTATTGCAATCTTCACACTTTCAGGTTAAATCTTCGTGAGCTTGGACCTCTGGCATCTCATATGCGCTGGTTTATCTGGCTAATGGCAGCTGGAGGAACCATTTATGTATTTCTCTACCATGAAAAGTAAGAATTCTAATTTGCACTAAACTTTAAACTGCATTTGAACTTGCTACTTTTTCAATACTCCTATAATAAAATGTCAGCTTGTCTTGCATATTGATCATAGAACTTCAAAATAGCAGAAATACATAAATAAAAGGATGCAAGCTTATATCTTATCAAATGATATTTGTATCCACTTTATTGCATATAAATTTACAGTAACTTGTATATCTCACGTTTAGAACAAATTTACAATTGCTCTTAAATGTCTTATATGAAAAAGTAAGACAGCTCAACAAATACTTAAATCTTGCTGGTACAAAGTAGGCAAGGAAAGGTGGGAGTTGACTTCACGTTTTTGCTGTCCTATTAAATCTGTTGATGGTGGTTGAAGGAATTATCTAGACAATCAAGATATCTTTATTCCTTCCATATTATTGTATGCTAGTTAATTAATAAAATGTTCCCTATAAGATGACATTGCAATATTAAGGGTGTGTCTAGACTATAGGGCTTTGTCGACAAAAGTGGCCTTTTGTCAACAAAACTATAACTGCGTCTACACTACCACAGAGTTCTGTCGACAGAACACGGCAGTTTTGTCAACAGCAGTAAACCTCATTCTACGAGGAATAATGCCTTTTGTCGAAAGAATTCTGTTGACAAAAGGTGCTATTTCATCCACACTGTGCTTTTTCAAAAGAGAGCATCTAGACTCTATCGAAAAAGCGGCTTGCTTTGTCGACAGAACTGGCTGTAGTCTAGACGCTCTTTGTCGACAAAGGCTTTGTCGACCGTATCTGTCGACAAAGCCTCTGTCGACAAAAGCCTATAGTCTACACGTACCCTAAGTCGCACAGAGAGAGGCTTACTAACCCTGGAAACTTCTACAGTGCCCCTGTTGAACTATTACAAGAGGTCATTCTGCTTAGTTTATGCTACTGTTTTCTTGAGCCTATGTAACCGTATCTCGTTGACTGCCATTCCCAAGGGGTGAACAACTAATCTTCATAGATCTTTCCCCAGCTAGTAAGAAAGAAATATTGAAGCCATTAGGAATATAACAAAAATAGTGTGGTTTAAAAAAAATGTAACCATAACCGCTAAATTCCTAGGGGTTACAAGCACTGTAGGCTCTGCAGTATAACTTTTATAAAACATTTTTAAAGTTATACTGCAGAGCCTCTCTGGGGGCAGGGCCAGAAGAAGCTGCCAGCTCCTCTCCCAGGGATGCTTTGCTGTGGGTCACAGGGTGACAGCCGGCTCCCTGTGTAACTGTAATGGAAACTGATAAGCTGATGCTTATTGCTTAACCATTTAAGTGATTATACTTTTACATCCCTAGAAACCATATGCATTGACCCATTTGATGGGCCTGGGGGTTAGGGTTAGGATTTTTCTGACCCACAGAAAAATCAGTCGGCAAACAAAAAAACCTCACTGATGTGGCCCCTAACTGAGAAGGAGAAAGACACTCCCTGCATTCCCCTCCCACACCGGCGTCTAGGGGGAGATCCAGTCTGGTAGATTTTGTATTCTCCAGCTCTGCAGTGATGGAGGTGGAGTGCCAGCATAGGCTCCCCAATGTTGGGGGAGAAGAGGGGACCATGAACCTCCAGGGCTGCATCCAGCCCCTGGACGTGAGGGTCCCCATTTCTGCTGTAGGCAATGTTTCCACCGTAGTGTCAGTCCTCTGTTATGTAAATAAAATCCCAATGTTCTCCATCTGTATAAAACAACAAATAGTTTAGCATCACCTTGAAGACTAACAAAACATGTAGATGGTATCATGAGCTTTCATGGGCACAACCCACTTCTTCAGAGGACCGGAGTGTTAAATGTCCAGATCCAAGAATATTTCGTTTTGTCCACGAAAGCTCATGATACCATCTACATGTTTTGTTAGTCTTTAAGGTGCTACTAGTCTATTTGTTGTTTTTTAAGTTTTTCCTGTTACAGACTAACTCGGCTACCCCTCTGAAGCTCTATCTGTATACAAAGTTTTTAGGTGATTGATGGGCATCTGTTAATTTAAAAAGTAATACATTAGCTGTTTTTATATTTCCTCAAACAGACAAATGTGCATTAAAATTAATCTTGTACCTTTCCTTACATTTTCCTTTTAGGTATAAGATTGTAGAACTCCTTTTCTACTTAGCCATGGGATTTTCTCCTGCCCTGGTAGTGACCTCTATGGTAAGGATGCTGTTCATGTAATAAACACACTACTTTTCCTTTTATAAGTAGTTTAAAAGGGAATTCTAGTGACATCAAAACACATAAAATGGAACGTTAATTTCATTCCAACACACTGTTATAAATGCTAGTTGCAGAACCACTGAAAGTATTTAGCCATCTGTTTGGGTTTTAATGTTCCTTAAACTATAAGCCAATGAAATTCCATTCCATTAGGAAGACTCAGTTTCTTTAAAAAAAGAAATGCCTAAAAGAATCATCCAGGTGTAGTACTACTATTTCACTAGTCAGAAGAATCGAATAGTGCATTTCAGTTGTGTGCATTCATGTATTTCAAAGTAATGCGTTGAAATTGCTTGTTTGTCCCTTCGAAATTCAGAATGAAGCTTAATTTAGAAGCATGACATAAGACTCCTTGTATTACACCTTGCTTCCTGTTTTGCTTATTTACTAGCTGTCCTGAAGTTTTCAAGTTTTCCCCTATTCTGGCCCAAAATCTAAAAACAGGTCATTCCTTCCCCCTTTTAAAAATGACTTGCTTTAGAAGAAGGCTGAGAATAATCTGACTCTTTCCATTAGAGGCACCCCCAGATTAATGGATAAAATTAGCTAAAAATTGAATCACAGGTATAAATATCCATAGCCATCTCTAGTGGACTAATTAACTTCTCGACAATAATGTATTATTTGGTGACCTTTATACCATGCCACTGGGAAATGAGGTGTTTTAAAAGCATTATATATCCTAGTCTCTTCATTATAGCTTGAAAATTATCAAAATAGCCCATTTTCAGCTCAAATGTCTTGACAATAGCATTAGACAAACTGTCATAGCATATATAGAAATGCATGCAGCAAGAAGATAAGCAAAATTAGAGATGAGCTTTGTGATTTGTCCAGAAGGTTACCAATCTGGGTGGTAGCAACTAGTTCCACATCTGTTATTAGAAGCAGTTGTAGATGCATTTTCTGGTAGTGTCAGATTTTATACATTAGGGTGATGACTAAGACTTGTAATTTTACTTAGCTAGTTTAGAGCTGAATGTTGCTCTTAACTCATGGAGATAAGCTACATACACTCGTGTATTTTTGCCCATTACAGCCATCCTTGTGTGTTTGTGGTCTTTCATATGCGTACTGCATTCTCAGCTAGGTAGAATGTCAGATCTGTTTGATTCTGATCATGTCACCTGTTATTGCTTTGATAACATTAACCTGTGAAACACATCACCCCACACAAAATTGAGAGTAGTTGTTGTATTGTAAAATATTTAAGTACATTACAGCTTGTTGCTCAAACTGCTAGACTTTGTGAAGCGATGAATCTGAAACAAAATTATAACAATCGAAATGATTATGTGTAAAGTTGCAACATATGGCATAATATACCATGATCACAATACCAGGCCAGAGTACAAGCAAGCTTAGTCAAAAACTCCGAGCTAAACTATAAGCATTTAGAATTTGCTGCCCTGTTTGTTCAGTTCAGATTAGCTGTCATATTAGAAAGTCACCCACGATTAGGATCAATATACTACGCAGTCCAAAGTGAGATCTCTGAATAATATTGTCTGGCCTTTTAAATGTTGATTAAATAAGTCATCCATCCCCTCCCCCCACCCCATCGTAATAACAACATCCTTGAAGCTTACTAACTTTGTTCCAGTTTCAATTTCTGAAGGCTAACTTTTTTTCTGTCTCCTCGTTAATTAACAGAACAACACCGATGGACTTCAAGAACTTGCTTGGGGAGGCTTAATTTATTGCATGGGAGTGGTATTCTTCAAGAGCGATGGAATCATTCCATTTGCCCATGCCATATGGCACATGTTTGTAGCGACAGCAGCTGCAGTTCATTACTATGCCATTTGGAAGTACCTTTATAGAAGCCCTGCAGACATTATCCGTCATTTATGATTAAAAAAAAAAAAAATCTGCACTAGGCCTCCATAACAGTATTATTTGATGTAAGGAATTCAGAGGAATTGAAAAATTGCACAGAAAAAACTGCACTGACGTAGCTAGTTCTCTGACTACATGTACTGTGAACAGATGTTATCTAATGCGTCCTGGAATTGCCCTTCATACAGCAAGTACTGTAAATAACCAAGGCACTATAGTACAGTAAGGATAGTCCATTCCACATGAGTAGAACTGGGGGTTCCTGATGTTTACTAACCAGAATTTTTGTATTTTAGCCTAATTTTACAGTTTTTACTATATGAATTTTTTCTAAATTAGTTATTCAAATAGTGAAAGTCAGTGCAATAGCAAAGACAACTTCATTTGTTCTAAAATTGGTTTCTACCATTTTTCCACTAGTCATTTAATAAACATAAATCATGGATGGATAGATCTAGTTTTACCACCCATCATCTTCACACAATGACTTTTTATAGAAATTTTAAATTGTTTTTTAAATTTTAAAAGTACATTTATTGAAATGAAAACATACAGTTGTCATTGGTGCAGTTATTCATATTGCAAGCTCTTGCAAGAAATTGTTACATTCCACACACTGTACTGACAAACAAACATTATACCTCTTCCAAACGTTTTATTACAAGTGTGCTTGTAACTACAAGTTTTTGAAAATTACAGATTTCAAAATGTGGTTCTGCCAAGCTTGAATGTGAAAACATGCTGCTCACTATAGTATATTTAGTTACATAGGGCTTGTCTACATGATGGAGGAAAACAGATTACGGGATGTGATTTGTAAAGTGCACTAACATGCTGCACATTAATTGGTCCACGTAGACCCAGATGCTGGACATGAAGGTCACCCGAATGCACTTTAACATAATACTGTTTCAGATAGCACTCCATTAAAGTGCACTAGGCAGCCTTTAGTGTACACTAGCAGAATCTATATCAACCAATTAAATGTGCAGCATACCCCCATATTCCACATTACCACACCATGTAAACAAACCCTTAGTTTGGCTTATCAATGAAAGAAACTGTGTTTTGGACAAGTAGTTAATACCAGTCAAACATTTAGGACGCCTCCGCACATGTCATTTACAAAGACAGTTGAATTGATGAGAGTGGAGTTTTCAAAACTTGGCAGTGCAAATGCAGGTGGCCAACTACTAAAAATCCCAGTCTCCAAATTATAATGAGGAAGCATCAGTAAAGCTACGCCTAGACTTCACAGTGGGCTGTGTCTACACTGGCAAGTTATTCTGGAAAATCAGCCGCTTTTCCGGAAAAATTTGCCAGCTGTCTACACTGGCCGCTTGAATTTCCGGAAAAGCACTGACGAGCTAATGTAAAATCATCAGTGCTTTTCCAGAAAAACTATGCTGCTCCCGTTCGGGCAAAAGTCTTTTTCCGGAAAACTGTTCCAGAAAAAGGCCAGTGTAGACAGCACAGTAGTGTTTTCCGCAAAAAAGCCTCGATCGCGAAAATGATGATCGGGGCTTTTTTGCGGAAAAGCGCGTCTAGGTTGGCCACGGACGCTTTTCTGGAAAAAGTGCTTTTCTGGAAAAGCGTCCTGCCAATCTAGATGCGCTTTTCAGGAAATACTTTTAACGGAAAACCTTTTCCGTTAAAAGCATTTCCAGAAGATCATGCCAGTGTGGACGTAGCCCACAGTTATTTCGGAATAAGCTATTCCAGAATAGTTATTCTGAAGTAGCTTATTTCAAAATAGCACATCTACACTGCAGGGAAGCCTCAAAATTAGTCCGAGGCAGGCTTCACTAATGTAGATGTACTATCTCAATTTAGCGCCCCAGGAGGAATAACTTAGGATGGCCCTGGTGAGGGGCTATTTTGAAATAGCAGAAGTGGAGCATCTACACATGCCTTATTTCAAAATAGCTATTTTGGAATAGGTATTATTCTTCATAGAATGAGGTTTACAGAAGTCAGAGTAAGCCTTCTGTTATTTTGAAATAATGGAATTGCTGTGTAGACGCTCGCTTAGTTATTTCAGAATAATGGCCGGTATTCTGAAATGACTTTGCTTTGTAGACACACGGTAATTGTCCAGAAGAGTTAACGTATATTGGTGCTGAAAATTAAGGCTGGGATATTCAAAAGGATCTCAGTGGAACTGGATACAAGCAACCACTAGCTTGGAAGATCTGAACTCCCTTAGGTCCCTTCAACATCCCAGCCAAAATTGGTATATTGCATTTGCTGATAACTTAGAGTATTTTATGGTTACTGGTTCTTCACACACATGGCCTTTCTAGTGAAGAAAGCATGAAAAACTTGATACAGTATCTCTCATCAATATGGGACCTTATGAAGAGCAAAATTGGGTTTAGTATATTGCTATTTTCTGTAAAGGAAAACAATGTGGTTAGCAAGGCATGATTGTAGAACATGTGCATTGAATATGTAGATGTAGAAGCCTCACTGTAATGCCGTTGGTCCAGTTATTGTATCTGTCCCACTATATTATCAATGTCTTATATTAAGATTGATCCTTTTTTCTAATTTACTCAATTTTTCAAGTCAGTGTTTTAAAAACTAAAGAAAACAAACAAAACGTGTTGCCTTTTTCAGATTTTGTTCTGGGAATTGCCTGTCTTCAAACAATAGACTAGTAACAATAAAAATGTTTTTCAAGGTACTGTTTCTATTTCATCTGAACTTGCCAGTGGATTGTTTGCATATTGTAGAATCTGTTCATTTCTATAAAATGTCCAAGAAGGGACACTTTTTAAAAAAAAATTAAGGCATGGAAATGAGTGGCCATACAGTATTATCTGGTGGCTGCAAAATAGCACCACTAAAATACCCTAGTTAATTCTAGAAAAAGCATAAAAATGGAACTTGTGGGCGGACAATCCCTAGTATGACAAGTGTTCTACATGTGTTTTTTTTTTAATGTGTCTGGTTTAATGTTTTTTACTTCTGTGGGTTCATCTATTCTGTTCAACTATAGCACTGTTAAAACCACTAAAATCTATGTAAAAATTTGCTTTTAATCAAAACTGAAATTTTAGCTTGCATTTGTTCCATTCTCTTAAATTTATTTTCATGACCAGTTGTTTGGAGTATTTAAAAGTGAAAATTGTTTTTTTAAAATTTGAACTCGCCAAAAATATTTCAAATTACTGTATTCTAGTCTATATGAATTTGAATGTACTAAACTAAAAAAGTAAATATTTTATGAACTTGGAAACTTCATGGGGTGTTTTTATGCTGAATTTTGATTCATTAACCAAATTGCTTTTTTGTAGCCAATAATTTAAATGCTGAAAGCTGGTACTTGAACCATCATGCTCATTTGTTTTAGAAGTTTTGACAGAAGTAATCAGACTGAATTAGTTGAAATTACTAGGGATTTTGCAGTTTTGAGTAAAAATTAATGTTTGATATTCTTTCAGGCATCATAGCATACAGGAGTCTTTACCTCTCTATGGAACACTTTTCTGAGTCACCTCAGAGTCTTTATTTAGGTCTGGGTTATTTTCGCCTCCAGAGGAATTATGTGACTGTGGCTGTCATGTTGACGTCATGATCTTGACTACGGCTTTTCTCATAGCTTTTGCTAATTTTAAAGGAATGCAAGATGTTAGTCTGTGCTACATAATTGCTTTTAGTAGTGAGAGGTGTAGTAAGATTAAAACTAAAAATAATTAGAATTTCCTGTTTCCAGAAGTATACCCTGGATGAACATCTTCCTACTTAGTATAAGAGCCTTTTTATTGAATCCCAGTTTGTCTCCATGGTATTCATGTAGGGTTGAGCAGGTCATTGAAACTGCAACTGTTCCTGCTTTAGCTATATTAAGACCCTCTATCCACATACAGTAAAATCTTATATGTATTTATAACTTCGTTGTATTTATTTAATGTGCTAGTAAGTGAACTTTCTATATGACATAAATATAAATCACTCATAACCCATGCTCTATGATTACTTGAAATACATTCAGGTCTATGGGACCACTCCCCTCCAAAACCACTTCACAATATATTTCTCTTTCCCACAGCTGTAACCAACCACTCCTTTCTGATTAGGAGGGCAGTTAAATGATTATATACAGGCCCCACAGTTCTAAGGTGCTTAACACTCAACTCTGTTGCAGTTTAGAACACATCTCACAAGAGTGGAACCTAGTCCGAACATTAGGTCTTTCTCTAAGTGTCTATTGAGATGCAATTTTTCTAGTAGGCAGACACAAAGTTGATATTCTCATTAGTGACCTGACTCTACCATTTGCTACAGTAACTGGCTTTAGAAGCGAGCTTTCTCTCTGAGCTATGTAGCTTGGGCATCTGCTTATTTTGAATACAAGAGAGTATTGCTGCATGGTTCTTTTGTGAAATAAGGACACTTGTTCCTATGACTCTGGTTTATCCTGAGTCTTCTTACAAAAGTTTTAAGGGTCAAATCCTGGCCCCATTGAAGCTGCAGAAGATTTGCCATTTTGTCTTTATCCTAGAGCTCTATGCACTTACAGGAGTATTTTCACATGTGCCTCAATGAATTACAAACACAAGTTAATAGGATTTATTCCCTTAAATCACAGGGGAGCGATTTGGAGATCTCCCCCTGAGGGTTTTTTTTTTAATATATAAATGAAGTCATTGACATTAGTCCACAGAATTACTGAGGCTTTAGTTCCTGAAAAAGGGCTCTTGCATTCTTGTACATCCTGATCAATTTTAAGAACAATGACGCATAGGTTTGGGTAGTAGGCTATAAAGCAGGGTCTCTAACACCTGCCAGAATATTATAATAGACACTGACCTTCTTGCAGCTTTGTGGCTGTGAGCTGTTACCAATGCCAACTGACAGCCCAGCCTCATATCAGACAGGAAGTTTAAACCAGATCACAGGAAGCTTGGCTGGAGAAAGAGGTTTATTTTTTGGTGCTTATTCAACTCAGTTGAAATAACACAAGAGTCAAGCCCACAAAACCAAGGAAATGCAGTGTGGTGCTTATTCCCACAGTCCTGCATGGCTTCTTGCTTTTAAATATTTTGATGATCTTAGAACGTGATCTAATAGGTGGACATAATGAATAACAGAGTACAAGATGAATCCCTCATATTTCTTGCCCTGGGAATTTTTAAAACGTCATTCTTCCTAATGTCACAAACTTATAAACGCTAAATTCTTTGCATGGTACTAATACTGATTATGTATTTAAAAATAAATTTAAAAATTAGATACATTTTTTCACTATGATCCTTTTGGGGGGTGGGATTTGGCTCTTCAGGCAGCTTAAATGAAAATAACCTAACTAACTTTAATTGGGTCTGTTTCAATCTTGGGTTTTCTTTTAGTGACTGTTCTCAAACTTGCAGGGAAATTTTACAAATTCAGGAACATGATTTTCACTGAATGTTTTTGCAACACAAATCAAAACCTTCACATTAAGATCAGGGTTTTTTTTTTTAATTGCTCTTAAATGTGTGCTGTTTTCTGCAGTCAGCTACTTCACTAATGGCAAAATGGGCATTGTTTTTGTTGTTGCTTGGCTGGGTTTTGTATTTTTTTTCATAAATAAAAATACCTCAGAAATAATCACAACGAATAAAGCAAAAATTCACTGCATCAGTCCCTCTTCCCTCCTTCAACGAATGTGTTTAAAAGTTGTCCCAGCACTTAAGTCAAGCTTAATAAAGACAATATGTATCTAAATACATAGAAATAGTACTTTGGTTAGCATAGAATCTCAGAAAAGAAAGGGATATCAAGAGGAATCTAGTCCAGTGCTGGCCACCCATGGTAGCGCAAAGTATTATATAGATTATTCCTGACAGGTGTTTGTCTATAGCTTTATAGCCATCCGCTATAAACTATGTGATCATCAAGATATCTTCTCTTTTATCAGGGTGTGTGTCTGTAAAATGCAACATC